AAACATCCTCGGGTCAGGCGTTCTCGGGTTAGGCATCCTCGGGTCAGGCGTTCTCAGGTCAGGCATCCTCGGGTCAGGCCATCCTCGGGTCAGGCGTTCTCAGGTCAGGCATCCTCAGGTCAGGCGTCCTTGGGTCAGGCATCATCGGGTCAGGCTTCCACGGGTCAGGCATCATCGGGGTCAAGCGTCCTCGGGTCAGGCATCTTCGGGTCAGGCGTTCTTGAGGAGTAGGCCCTCCTTGGGTTAGGCATCTTCGGGTCAGGCGTTCTCAGGGAGTAGTCCCCCCTCGGGTCAGGTGTTCTCGGGGAGTAGGAACTCGAACTTGAAAAATTCAAATTTTATCAATATAATTTGATCTGATATTTGGAAAACTTGAATCAATTGGATGATGCTTCCAAAACAACGTAAAACACATTAAAAAAAAAGACCTAACTCACAAATAGATCATTGTTTTACGTTTAAAAATGAAATAGAGACTTTAATTTCAAAAAATAAATTTAACATTTTAAAGAAAAATTGATTTACAAAGAGCTGCCTTTTAGTTTGTCCCCTAACGTGCGGTTGACCTGCGACTTGACTAAATATTTGACTTTTGACCAAATTTGAAAATTAATAAAATAAAGAAAAATCATTTTTCATGTACTTAAAAGGAAATAAACTTAAAATAATTCTTAAGAAAATAATTATTTACATTGACAAACAACATAAATAAATAAAGCATAAATATTTCAATTTAAACATAAAAAAGAAGAAACGACTATCTTTTGGAAATTAAATTAAATTAAACCAAATTGAAAACAAAGGTTAGAGTTAAAAAAATAATCAAATATACAATAATAGATAAATTTCAAAATTATCAAAAATACCCCAAAAAAAGGCCTATTGGGCCCAAAATCAGAAGTCTGTTTGCCTGGGCTGATTTTTGGCCTAACTGTTGCTATGGATAAATCTGGGCTTTGTCCCAAACCTTCCCTATTTTCTAATAAAATCTTGCTATAATAAAAATTAGGAAACTTTCACATATAGCCACTCAAAAATAACCTAATTACTCTCTATAGCTATAGTTTAATAATTACAATTCGTAGCTGCATGTTATATGGAGGAGAGAGGCGAGCGAGACTGGGAGAGAGAGGGGGCAAAATGTGGGAGAAATGTGAATTGTATATGTATATAGGTTAGATAATTGTATATTATACATATGTATTTGTATATATGGCAAGCGAGATTGGGAGAGGGAGGAGAGAGGAGAGCGAGATTGGGAGAGAGTTGGAGAGAGGTGAATTGTATATGTATATAGGTTAGATAATTGTATATTATACATATGTATTTGTATATTCTGGCGAATTATACATATACAAACGTGGCTAATTATACAAACTCGAAGTCAGCCCGCGTTATTAATGTATAATGTTAGTCGTGAGTGGTAATTATAGCAAACTATAGCTATGATGAGTAATTAAGTAGTATAAGTTTGCTTAACCGCGTAATTTTCCCTTAAATTTGGGCTTTTGGCCCATTTCTGCTGCTGAAATATTGTGTATACACCAAGTGTATATTATTGTATTTGTATACCTATGTATACAACCTAATTCATCTTTCAAACACCTGTATTCTCGCCTCAGCCCTGTATTTCGATACTCTGGACATGTATATCACTGTATACTGAGTGTATACAGTCCATTTTTGAACTTTCCGAGACTTGTATCAGCTTCTTTTTCACCTTCGAACATTATGAGGCTGACTTGATACCCTTGCAGGGAGATGATGAAAAGAGTCTGACTTAGACTCCGCAAAACGTCGCATGCAATACATGGAAGTAAGGATTAATACACGACAAAGATGATGAGTCAACAAACAACAAAGCTTCAATCTCCTTAAACCAATGCAAAATTATGTTTTCATACAAAAGCATATGAAATAAAAGACTCTACTAATCAAAACAAGAATGAAAAGAAAATAACTCCTTGAAATTTTAAACATGACAAACAACAAGTAATAGCTAGGCACATTTAATCAGAGAAGCAGACAAAACCAAACTTGATCAAATCCCAAAATGATGCAATCTAATCACATGCTTTTTAAGAGAACTAAAACAAAATCGATACACAATAAAACTGGACCATTAACAATTCATGAGGGACTAAAGAATCAACATGCTATACGAGAAAAACAAACAGAGTACTAATCATAGACTAAAATTATAAAAAAACACTAAAATTACTTTAATATTTTTTTTTTCAATCTTATAAAAACTAATTATTTCAAATCGTTTGGGATTGAAGAGACTCGATGATTAATTTATATTGTAGAGAGCCAAAAGTGGGTGTCAACACATATTATTTTTAATCAAGCTATCTTATTGGATAACTCATGAATTCTATTGAATTATCATGACTTTGTGTTATCAACATTCAACTTATTTTGTTAATTAATTTGTTCACATATCCTATCATATTGATATGATTTATTAATGTTGGTCAACAAGGTGTTATTCAAAGAGAAAATACATAAAAATCCCCCTAAACTTGACAGCAAAACTTACTTTAGTACTTTAACTAAACAGACGTTCAAATATCCCTCTTAACAATTCCGAATTGGTTAAATATCACCCTAAGAACTGACGTGGCAAAGTGAGTGTATTCACATTCCTCAAAGCGCGTGAAATAATAAAAATAAAAAAATTGAAAGGTAAAATCATACACATGACATTTTTTTTATTGGCCAATATATAACTAATAATTTTTTTTTAAAATTTATAAGTTAAAGTTAAAGAAAAAGTGAAATTTCTTGTTTAGAAGTAAATGAAATTTGTGGGTTCAATTATTATTTTTTTAAAAAAGTATTTAATCTTTTTGTTCTCTCTTTATTTTGTTATCTTCCCCAAATGTCTTCTTCCCCATTGAAGCACTCCTTATACCTTTCTTCTCCCATATTAAAATTTTTCCTTCATCTTCATCCCTCACCTCACCTTTCCTTCACTAATCACAAAACCCAACACCTAATTCATATTATTAAATGTAAACTTTATTGAATTTTAAGTAACCAATTTTGAATCCAATTAGTTGTGATGCAAAAAATGTGGGTCTATCAACTTTCTTACACAACCTTCATTTTTCATTTGAGTTGTTAAGCAAAAAATAACTTTCACAAAATATTATTCTCCAAGGGGCAGATTTGTGGGAGAGAGAGGGTTCGAAGAAGAAAAAGTAAGTATGCTATTTTTAATTTTTTTTTTTATGAATGTTGAAGAAGAAAACAACTATTGAAGGCTGTAAATTTGGGAAAAAAAGAAGAAGTTAGTGTAGGTTGAAAATGGTGAAAATCAAGAAAGAGAAAGAGTAGGGGGGGGGGGGTAGAAGAGAAGGGGTGGAAGAAGATGGGGCAATTTTGATTTTAAAATGTATTTTAAATTAATTGATTAGTGTAATAAATTTTAAGAAAATGGTTAAGAGAAAAGGTGAATAAGCAAAAAAAAGATTGAAAATTAATGACGTGGTGCTTACATGGTTATGATGTGACAGGTGAGAGTGGTATTCTATTCTCAGGGTTGTATTTATTTGTTTTTGATAGAAATAGAGTAATTATATAAAAAGCTTAAAGGTGAAGCACACGGACTTCATTGTTCATTACATAGTTTGAAATAGGGGGATTCTCCGTTGTCTCGTTGGGACTAGTTACTACTACCATTCTATCAAAATAAAGCCCATTCTTGTCAGCTTCCCATGCTTTGAAGGCATAATGTGGTGGGGCTTCCAAAATCTGCATCCTCCCGCTGTTGGATTGTATTGTCCTACCCATTTTAGCCAGTATGTCCGCCACCTTGTTCTACTCCCTGAATGTGTGGAGTGGTTTTGGTATTCCCCTGCTGCATTAGTGACCTGCATTCAGATATAATGTTAGTGTATTGCGAATGGTCATGCTCCAGTAGTGCTATCGCTGTGGAGGAGTCAGTATTTAGAGTTGTATTTAATTCACTTCAAAGATGTTAATGGGGATATTAAAAGCCTGTGTAGTTTAAGTGCTAAAGTAAGTTGTACTGCCAAGTTTAGGGGGGAGTTTTATGTATTTTCTCTTCTTCAAACTTACAATGATTTCTCTTCTTCAACACTTTCTACTGATCACCAACAATACAATTTTCAGTTTTTTTAAAGCAAAAATCACTAAATTGGTGTTTGAGCTAAAAAAATTTAGGGGTCATAATACATTTACTTGCTCAATTTAAATGAATTTTAGCCGTTAGTCAAATATAAAAAAATTATACACCATTTATGTATATTATACGTTAATTTAGAATATATATATAAATTTGTATTTAATAACTATTAACATATCAACTATTCGATACATAAAACTTCAAACTCTTTAAAAAAAAAAACCAATAAAAAAGACAAAAGGATAACAACAAAATACAATAATTGACCGGTCCTTGTTGAGCATGGCCAGTGGCCACAAGTGTAAACATCCAGGGCCCAACTGATCATGATAAGCCTAGAAGGTTGGTTACTCTTACGAAGATATTTATTTTGTGCCTCACATAAATAATACAAATAATAGGATTTTTAATTTATTCTTTTTACATTGATGAATCAAAAGTGTAAGATTTGAATTCACTAATTTGTGAAATAAAAAAAAAATCTTACTTAAGTTACGGCATTTTTCCAGGCAGAAAATGAAGTCTTTTTCATTCTCACTAATTATTGAATCGATGTCTCAATGTGATACAATTCTTTTCATTTAAGATAATTAATGTCACATGCGGTGGCTATTTAATCGTTGTGCTAAAGTTGTTAGGATAAAAGGAGTAGTTAATGTGTCGTTTTCATATTTAAAGAGAGATTTTTAGTTTGGATAATAAAACTCATACACACCACAAAAAAACATATAATTAAAGATTCATCATTATTAATTTCTCATAACTTGGTCGGAATCGAGGAAAATACACCGGTACAAAACGCAAAAAACATGTCGATAGGAGTAATTAATTATAGGTTTGATGAAATTTAGTATCCTTCTGGCTTGTAGGCAATGAAACTGATGCACTGCACTTGACGAACGTTGTCGAATCCGATAATACGGATCCAGGCCTGTGGGTACGCATTCTTGGCCTCTTGAACCTCAGCCAACACCTGGGTTGCGTCAGTGCACCCAAACATAGGCAACTTCCACATGGTCCAGTATCTACCATCGTAGTATCCTGGTGAGCTGTTGTGCTCACGGTACACAAATCCGTGCTGTACACAACAATATAACATACATTTATTTTCTCCTTCAACAAATTAAATTACACATGTAAAAGTATGTAGGAGATATTGACCTCAGTCTCGAATTCCAAGCAAGGAACCCATCCATTTTTCAAAAGGTACTCAACTTCCTTGAGCAATTGCTCATCGGACAAGTCAGGAAGGTATGACAATGTCTCGTATTTCTTCATGTTAATTGGTGGCCACACCTACATTAACACATTTATTTTATAAATAAACGACAACTAGTTAATTTAAATTTTATATATATATACTGATAATTATTATTTGAACCTGCATGCATCTAACACGTCCACCGTTGCTAGCAAGGGAAGTAATGTCAACGTTGTTGTTCTTCTTAGTAACGGGGAAAGACGCGGCGGATTTGAGTCCGGTGAAGGGTGCGACCATGCTAGCTTGAGCAACATTGCTACGGGTAGCAACGGCTGCTGAGGAGACAATTGAGGAAGCCATTACGTTACTACTTAGCTATAAAACGTTTTTTTTTTTTTTACTTCAAAGAAACTTGTTTTTTTTTTAAGATGCTTATTACACTGTGGCTTACTCCCTTTATATAATGATAAGGTGTTAGACGTTTTTTTTAATCTAACGGATAGAAACAAAGGAAACCTCATCTTAGATGAAGGGTGACCATTGGATTATGTGGCTGTTGATATTACAAAATTTAATGGCCACATGAAAGATAAGAAATTGGAGCTAAGTGTCTTTTATTTTAATAGACAAGAATAGAAGTGCCACGTGTCGGAAGATGGTGAATCTTATCTCATCCAGGATATGAATGTGTGATAGATAATGCATTGTTGGTTAATTTTTCTATGTATTGAGAGTGCAGTTTAGCCTCATGTTACAGTAGTAGTGGATGGACTTTGCAGTCTTTTTTATTGGACTTGGAAGAGACCATTCCTTACTACAGAAGGTCCAGACGTATTTTTCTGGATGCATCATTTTCATTTATGGCCACTGGCAGTTGTTTGAATTTTTTTAAAATTTAACTTATAAATACGGACAAATGACAATATGCCTTATAATGGATCCGGTTACTCTCTATTTCTCTTTTCTTCATTTTTCCCAAGTTCTTGCTTGGATGTGAGACACATGGCATATGCAAGAATTAATGACTAAAATTTGATTGATTAAAATAAGATTCTAATTGTTATAATATATTTAATAATAATAATAATTTTTGATACTTACTATCAGCATTCTATATAAATATCGTGAAAAACTGTAGCATCTTTGAATTAACTCAATTATCGCAAAATATTGTCGCAATTTTTTTTTGTGGCAATACTAAGAGAAAAATCGATTCCCACTAAATATCACTTTGTCGTAGTGTAACGAAGTCTTGCCTTTTATAAATGGTTATATACTTATATGTAATTATTATCTTTTAGGGATTGAAATGCCACATAAGAATACTACTTAATATGGTTAGTAATGTTCATGCTGATATTTCATTTATCGTTTGTCTGGTTTGTTGCATCAAATACTAACACATATATATTATATATCGTATAAATTTCTAAAAAATGTAATCCAATTGGAGTATACTGTACTAGAATATATAGGAATAGTACTAGTATATATTGTTAATGTCATGGTGAATATATAATAATACTGAATATAATGTATCACTCTATATAATTAATTATATAGGTATACCAAACAATAAATTATGTAGTATCAAAGCTAATACAAATATTATTTTCTCTAATATCTCCGGTCAAACTACCTCTTAGTGACTAAAAGTGTAATATCCTTTTACTTTGGGAGTACAATTAACTAATTCAATTTGTTTTGGTTGGAAGTATTGATGATTTTTGAAATTACCAACTTGATAGATAGACCAGTACTTGTTTCCTACAGAAGATGAATTGCTATTCTAAGTCTTTTCTATATTCGTCGACCAATCATTTGAAATTTAGACCATTTTTTGCCTATTGTTTTTTCTACTATACATGTTGAACTAAACTATTCGTTATGCTTGAAAGTTGAAAGCAAGTCTAATTACCTAACAACCAACAAGAAGTGCATTTTATGCTGACAAAATCTGTTTCCAATATTTCTCAGCAAAAGCATATATCTTATTATATTACCGGCAGTGAATTTCTCTTAGTGCAAAATTTGGACTAGATGACATTAAGTTGCATTATAATCTCTTTTGTTCTAAAGGCTGAAGGTCTCGTTTTTATTTTTATTTTAATATCATCCATCCAGGCTTTCACCTTCGGTGGTGATAGGGGATTCTGAAGAATTACAGAGCAGAGGATTCAATCAAAGAAGAACTTTTCTGTGTGTTGAATGATAATCTAATACAATACAAATAATGCCTACACTACTCTATTTATAGTGTATCTTAACTGTACAAGCTAGTTAGTCTAACTTAACTAGAGTTACCTTTAACTAACATTATAACAAACTTTTGTAACTAACTTTACTGTTACATTGATCACAATGCGTAACTTTTGATTCTCATATTCATAACACCCATCCTCAAGCTGATGGCTGAAAAATGTCTTTCATTCCCAGCTTGGACATAAGATGTGAGTGTGGAGCTTTCCATAAACCTTTTGTGAGCAGATCTGCCAGCTGATCTTTTGTGGATACATGATGTGTCTGAATCATTTTTTTAAGCAGTTTCTCTCTAACAAAATAGCAATCAATATCAAAATGCTTAGTTCGCTCATGAAAAATAGGGTTGGCTGCAATCTGAATTGCAGCCTTGCTGTCACAGAATAGATCAACTGGTTGTTTGATGGTTACTCCTAGTTCACTGTGTATGCCAATGAGCCAAGTAATTTCAGCTACTGCAGATGCCATACTCCTAAACTCAGCTTCTGCAGAACTTTTAGCAATTGTTTCTTGCTTCTTTGCCTTCCAAGATACAAGAGCATTTCCAAACTTCACTAAGTATCCAGTCACAGATCTTCTCGTTTGTAAGCAAGTACCCCAATCAGAGTCACAGTAAACAGTCAATTGATTAGAATCTTGTGAGGGCATAAACAAACCCAAACCTGGAGCTGACTTGATGTATTTGACTACTCTAAGTGTAGCTTCCATATGAGACTCTTTGGGTGCATGCATATATTGACTTAGAACTTGTACTGCAAAGGAGATATCTACCCTGGTCATAGTTAGATACAACAGTTTCCCTACAAGGCTTTGATATCTACCAATATCTTCCAAAGGTTTGTCACTTGATGTAGTGTTTGCCTCTTGTACATGTGAGTCATATTCAATAGAGGTTAGTCTGAGGTTTGGATCCAGTGGAGTGTTGACTGGCTTGGCACCACTTAGACCCATTTCTGAGACAAGTTCCAAGGCATACTTACGTTGGCTCATAATATAACCTTCTTTTGATCTGGCGAATTCAATTCCAAGGAAAAACTTCAATTCTCCTAGGTCTTTCATTTTGAATTTAAGTTGCAGATCATTCCCGGTCCTGTCAATCAGCTTCTTGCAGCTTCTAGTTATCAGAAGGTCATCAACATAAACAAGAATTATTATCAACTTTTTATTTTCACTTCTGGTAAATAGAGAATAGTCATAGTGGCTTTGAACAAATCCCAGCTGAAGTAATGCTTCTATTAGTTTAAAATTCCATTGCCTAGGTGTCTGCTTTAAACCATATAGTGACTTGTGTAATTTGCAGACTTTACCAGACTCCACCTGTCTGCAAAAGCCTGGAGGAACAACCGTATACATATCCTCAACCAGGTCACCTTGGAGAAATGCATTATGGACATCCATTTGGAACACAAGCCAGTGTTTAGCAGAGGCCACAGCTAGAACAGACCGCACAGTAACCATCTTAGCAACATGGGAGAAAGTTTCAGAATAATCCAAGCCTTCTTTCTGATTGAACCCCTTTGCAACAAGTCTAGCCTAGTATCTTTCAACAGCACCAGATGCAAGATATTTCACCTTAAACACCCATTTACAGCCAATTGGATGTTTATCAGAAGGAAGATCAGTGATAGACCAGGTATGATTCTCTTCCAAGGCTTTGATCTTAGCTTGCATAGCTACGACCCACAAAGGATTAAGAGCAGCCTTATGGAAGACTTAGGCTTAAGGATGCTGGAATATGCAGCTAAGGCTAAGCCATAAAGTGGATACAAATGGCGATAGCTGACATGATTGGATAAAGGATAAAGACAAGTGGACTTAGGCTGAGTAGTAACATAGTCATGAAGCCAAATTGGAGGTTTGGAATTTCTAGAGGATCTTCTTAAGGGAACAGTTGCAGACATATCAGATGCATAGGCAGGAGAAAAGGGACATTCAGATACTATAGAAGCTGGACAAAGAGAAGAATAAAGAGTAGCAATGGGAGGAACTGGAGTGGACTTAGTAAAGGACTCTGTAAACTGAAAGATAGGAAACAAAGGAGGACATGAGGAAGTGGTTTGAGTAAAGAGAAATATGTCCTCTTTGAAAACTACATCTCTGGACACTAAGAACTCTTAAGTATGAAGAGAAAACAATTTGTACCCTTTTTGTAATGTAGAATACCCCAAGAACACAGTAGGGAAAGCTCTGGGAGTAAACTTGTCAACCTTTCTGACTTCAGAAGCAAAAGCAAGACACGCAAAGACTCGAAGATGATCAAGAGAAAGAGATCTAAGATAAAGCAACTCATAAGATGTCTTGTTGTGTAAAATAGATGAAGGCAATCTGTTGATCAAATAGACACTAGTAAGAGCACACTCACCCCAAAATTTAAGAGGCATGCTAGATTGAAACCTCAAGGCTCTAGCAACATTAAGTATATGTCTATGTTTCCTTTCAACAACTCCATTTTGTTGAGGGGTATATATGCATGAACTTTGGTGTAAAATACCTAGAGACTCCAGGAGAACAGTCATTTGGGAATTAAAAAACTCACAGCCATTATCTGTCGTTAATATTTTGACTAAGGAAGAGAAAACATTTGCAACCATAATAAGAAAATTTTTGAGTGCAACTATGACCTCAGATTTGGAGGGAAGCAAAACTATCCAGGTATACCTTGAGTAGTCATCTACTAAGGTTAAAAAATACCTGTTATTATCATGAGTTGGAACTCTATAGGGACCCCATACATCAGCGTGTAAAAGTTGAAAGCAAGCAGTAGTAGAAGTAGCACTTAAAGGAAAAGATAGTCTTGATTGTTTAGCTAAAGGGCATACAGTATAAGGTGCATCAGTAGTAGGATGCAACTGTTGCAAAGAACTAAATTGTCTAAGAGTATTAAAAGGTACATGACCTAGGCATTTATGCCACAATGATAGACTTATTCTAGATGAATGTAAAGAAGGTACAAGACAAGACTTAGAAACTGCAATAGCTTGATCTTTAGGTGAACTCAATTCTGCTCCTTGAGAATGCAAATGACAGTCAGCAGTAATCACATACATGTCATTCTCCAACTTGCCAATCCCCCTCACTTTTCCATTGGAGAGGTCCTGGAAAATGCAGAAATTAGGATAGAACATAACACTGCATTTCAACTCCTTTGTTAGTCTAGGAACAGATAATAAGTTGTATTGAAAAGTAGGAACATGAAGCATATTAGTGATCTCAGCCCCTCCTAAGATCTGAGATGAGCCAATATGACTAACTGGTGCAAGATTGCCAGTAGGAAGATACATTTTTCCTTCGTGAGACTCAGACAAGGTAGTATAGTGATTGAGCATACGCAGACTATGAACCATATGTTTGGAAGCTCCTGAATCAAATATCCACTTGGAAGTAGGAAACAAACCTGATGTACCTGAGGTAGACACAAGAGCATCAGCGGTAGTCTTCCCATTTCCCTGATCTAGCAATTGCAGGATCCGCATGTACTGCTGGTGGGAGAAATGAGGATGTTGTGGCTGTGAAGTTGCATGAGGTTGAAACTGTTGATGCTGCAGGTTAGTCATAAATGCATGAGAGACACCAGTATTGCTAACACCTGATGGAGATCTGCTTGAGAGGCTACTAGGACCAGAACTAGCAGCAGCAAAACTAGTTGTGCTAGTTGAACCAGGACTGATTTTCTTCTTACCTTTCCAGTCAGATGGATAACCATGAAGTTTGTAGCAGTGATCCCTTGTGTGACCTTTCCAATTACAGTAATCACAAAACAATAACTGTTAAATGGCTTCTTAGGTCTGGAAGTAGATCCAGTAGTACCAGGACCACCAGATCCCGATCCTCTGGAGCCTGAGTAGGTATGATTACTGCCACTAAAGAAGGCTAGAGCCTCTTGTATCCATGGTTAGAAGGCATCTCAACAACAGTATTTGCCTTACCAAGGATCCTCTGACTCTCTTCTACAATCACTAGTGAATAGGCTTTGTTCACACTGGGAACATGATCCATCATCATAATTTGGCTTCTACATTGGTTGTAAGACTCATTGAGACCTATGAGAAACTGCATAAGCCTTTGATACTCAAAATGAATTGCATAAGTCTTTGAAACTAAACAGTCACACCCAGGACAGGGCATGAGAGAATCAAACTCCATCCAAAGCTCTTTAAACCTGGAGAAATAGATGGAAACAAACAATATTCCTTGAGTGAGTGTAGCAATCTCCTTATGTAGATAGAATATACGTGATCCATCAACCTTATCAAACCTTTCCTTCAGGTCATTCCAAACTTGTTGAGCACTATTAGCATAAACTATCCCACTGAGAAGTTCTCGACTAACAGAAATCATGATCCATGAAAGGACAATTGCATTACATTTCTCCCACATATTATGGAAGGAAGCTTGAAACTTCTCTTTAGAACTAGATCCATCCACAAATCCTATTTTACATTTGCCTAGCAGACCTATCTTCATAGACCTGCTCCACAAAGAATAGTTTTCAGATCCAATTAATTGAGTAGAGACCAGTGAACTACCTGGAGTGTCACACGCTTGAAGAAACAAAGGATGATGTGAATCAACTATGGCTTCTCTACCACCAGCTGAAGGAGTAAGAGTGTCAGGATTGGAGCCTTCACCTATCGTCATTGATGAAGATCTTCACTGAATCAGGAGCAACAAACGAAGTAAAAACAGGACTGCTTCTAAGATAATGCAGACTCTGTTGGAGAGCCTTTCGTGTGCACTGCAAGCAGAAGAGTTTAACAACCTAATTTGCGGAATACATCAGGAGAGCATCCATGGCTCTGATACCATGAAGAATTATAGAGCAGATGATTCAATCAAAGAAGAAGAACTTTTCACTGTATTGAATGATAATCTGATACAATACAAATAATGCCTACACTACTCTATTTATAGTGTATCTTAACTGTACAAGCTAGTTAGTCTAAATTAACTAGAGTTACCTTTAACTAACATTATAACAAACTTTTGTAACTAACATTTTGTAACTAGCTTTACTGTTACATTGATAACAATGCGTAACTTTTGATTCTCATATTCATAACAGATTCGGCATCGACCCCCATTGTGTTTATTTAAAGAAAAATAAAGTACATTGGACGAGTTGAAGTACCAAAACCTCCGAGATCAATATTGATCGAAGACCTATACAAAACTAAAAGAATGCATTAATGGAGTATGGTTTGGTTGATGGGAAAGTTCAGGCAGGAGCAGGACATTCAATATAAATCTTTTTGATCCATTATGGGACTGCTGAAATCGAACAATTTGTTATAATTGTTGTCAATCTGTGTTTAAAACAGAATTTCTGATTCCAATAAACTTTGCAGAAACACGAAGTAATCAAAGTTTTAATGAACTAGTAAAAATAGAAGAACAGAAATTAATTTAGAACAACTAAAATCTGAAAAACATACTAGAATCTGGAAAAAGACAGAACGGAAAAGATCAAGCCCACTGACTGCACAGTGCCCCCTTAAAGAAATTATTCCCCTCTAGTATTTGAGGTTTGATTTGGAATATGTCCTCCCAGGATAGAATGATCTCAATCACCAGTGTATTGATACCCAAAACTCTGGTATCATCGAACCACTCAATAACAGTAAAGTATATGAAGAAACTTTGTGCAGAAGAAGAAGAAGAAATCAGAAAAAATCGTAATTAATAAATCTGAAGAATCAACCCTTTCAGAATCCACACGACCATTCACGAAAGTTTGCAACCTTTCAAACGGTCATGACTGTTCATGAAAGTTGCAACCTTTTAGAACAGTCACTTCCAACGGCGGGAAATTTAAATAAAACGGAAAAGAATTTAAATAAAATGGGTCGCGCGCGGATCCGAGTCAGGTCGGTCAATTAACTGAATAGCCGAAACATTTTGGTTAATTAACTAATTAATTGAAACATTTTGACGTTTTGGCCATTTAATTTAATTTAATTAATTAAATAAATAATTTAAACAAACTTTGTCGCCGAAGCCGAGCGAGCGAGCGACGACGACGACGGTGCGAAGGGGTCCCTCTTTCCAACCCTTTTAACAATTAATAGGAGTGTTTCTATATTTAAACTCTTTTATTTTTCTTTCCACCACCGATGAGGGAGAAATGCCTTTTCACTAAAGCATAAAAGGACTTTTCAAGTTTCCAATTCTTCAAGTTCCCAACTTTTCAAGTTCCTCTCTTTTCATCTTCCCTCCATTTCCCATTAACTCTTGCTACATATTCAAAACTAGTTTGATAATTAATAACAAAATGAGAACAAAAATAACTTATAAAATAAAACATTGTGTGGTGGCAAGTCATTGCTTTGAAAGCAATTTTTGCTAATGTAGGATAATTATTTGAAAATATAAATCAACTTTTTCTCTCTTATAAATTTATAAAATATAACTTTTATACGTCTGCGGCTGTTTGTGCCAATTGTCAATTGAAAGTTGTAACCCTTGTTGTCCTGAAAGTGCCTAATTTGCCATATATGATGAGGTGAAGTTCACAAATAGCTATTTATAGAAGTCATATCTAAAGAATAATCAAAATAGGAAAAATTAGCAAACTAGTCATAATCCCTAATATAATTATAAAAAATATCTACACTTAAAAATAATTATTAAAAATGTCAATATGTCAATATTTTAGAAGATTAATTGTATCCTAATATAATTAATTTCTTTTCCTTTTATTTCTCAAATCATGCTCAAGTTAGACCCTTTTTTACTCCCTCATCCGTAAAATAAAAATAATTATACCCCCATTACCCACTTACCTCTCTTTCTAGGTTTTACCCCAAATTGCTCATTTCTCTCTCTTTCCTTTTCACCATTGTTATCGCCTTTCCTTATTCAAGAAAATCAACTCTTCCAATTTCCTACACTTTGTTCAAGAAATCTCACAATTAATTCAAAAGATTTTTCAACCATGGATAAAGGTAAATTCGAAGTCAACAAGTATTTTGTGAGATGTCTTGTGATTTTGTTTTCACAATTATCAAGTATTTTGTATTTCGGATTTTTCGTCTTTGAATAATATTGTTTGATTTTTTTGTGAGGTTCTCATATTCACCAAGTATTTTATGAGATTTCCCTCTTCTATGTATTTCGAATTTTTCGTCTTTTAAACTCTATTGTTCAATTATTATTTTTGTGATTTTGTTTTCATATTTGAGATTTAATAGATTATAGTAATCTACATACATTAGCATTCATACATCATATATTGTTTGATTTTTTATACATTCATAATTAATAATTTCAAATTTTGTTTATAGGGTTACTAATATATGCACAAGTGAATACGGATTTGGATTTGAGTTTGATAAAAAAAAAAAATCAGAAAAAAAACAACATAGCAGACGAAGAAGAAGAAGAAAGAGAGATTGAGAGAAGAAAGTTGAATTGTATTCATACCAGGATTGTATTCATATTAATTTTTGTTTGTTAATTATTTTTGTTTTTCTCAGCATTTGTAATTTTATTAAGAACATTGTATTTCTTTTAAGTTTGTGGTCATTCAAGTACGTATGTCAAATTGATTCATATTTCTTAAGCATATATGTATTCTATTTTTTTCACAGCCAGTTTGTATTTTTTTTTAGAATATTGTATCATTCCTCAACAGATTGTATTATTTCCACTATGTATGCTAAATTTTTTTCCAGAATCTTGTATCTCTGTTTCTTTCATAGCCAACTTCTAATTTTTTTTAGAATATTGTATCATTCCTCAATAGATTGTATTATTTCCACCATGTATGCTAATTTTTTTTTTCAGAATCTTGTATCCTTTCATAAATCATATTCATATGTAATGATTAATTATATTGGGATACAATCAGTGATATTTTTATAATACAAATAAAAGAAAAATATATTTGGCAATCATGTAATACAATTTTGATCACTGGGATACGATTTGTAGTTTTCACTATGAAAGTAAAATATCAAATTTAATTTGAAAGGTAAAGTCAACACATTAAATGTAAAAAATATTGGTATACAATTACAATGAAAACATAATAAAAAAAAAGTTGATTTCTTTGAAATTGTAACTGGTGAGAATTTTAAGTGATATGTTCCTTTTTTTAAATATTATCTCCCCTGATTTTCTCCTTTCTGTTATTAAATAATTGTGTTTCTTGCAAATCATACAAATAAGAAAATACATACATAAGATATATAACAAACTAAAATATTGACATTTTAAATAAATATTAAAAGAAGAGTATGGCTAAGAGATCCTATTAAATATCAAAATTTTGACATTTTGAAAAATTTTCCATTGAAATATAGCCACAGGCATGGGCTTGGACTATTGGGCCAGCCCAGCCTAATTTCATGATTTGATTGAATTGAGCTCCTTTCTTTTGGTTAAAACCCCTAATAACAAATCTAGCCTTATATTTATTAATTGTACCATCATGTCTCAATTTCTTCTTAAATATCCACTTGCTACTTATGAGTTTACAACCTTTAGGTAAATCATACAAGTTCCAAGTGTGATTAGAAACTATAGAGTCTAATTCACTTTTAATACCTCTTTCCAAAATATAACATCTATTGATCTCATAGCTTCATCATAAGTCTTAGGGTCTTCTTCTATTAAATAGATAGACACTGATTCATCATTTAAAATATTAATATCCAAATTTTCAGTTAAGAAAGAAGTGATAAAATCAGGTTCAAAACTTGTCTCAATTCTACGTCTTTTACTCCTTCTAAGTTCATTTTCATGCTCATTAGAAATAACATTAGAAGAAGGCACAACATGAGAATTAACAGACATAGATGTAGAAGCATTATTTTGCACATCACTCAACATATTATTTTTCAAAGAAAAAATATGCTCAAAATTTTTTGCATCGCTAGATTCACAAATAGTGTGATCATTGAGAGACATAAATCTATATGCAGCACTATTTTGAGCATAACCAATAAAGACAATATCAAAAGTCTTAGAACCAACATTTACTCGTTTAAAATCAGGTAGACCAACCTTAGTCAAACACCCCCACACTTTCAAAAATTTCAAGTTAGGGGCAAATCCTTTCCACAACTCATATGAGGTCTTGTCTAACTTCTTATGAGGGACTCTATTAAGAATATAGCACGCAAGCAAGACTGTTTCTCCCCACATATTTTCAGATAGACCAGAGCTTAGAAGCATAAAATTCATCATTTCTTTAAGGGTTCTATTTTTTCGTTCGGCTACACCATTTTGTTGGGGAGTATAGGGAGCACTAACCTCATGTATAATACCATTTTCTCACAAAAATCCTTTAGAGTTTTAGTACAATATTCACTGCCCCTATCCGATCTAAATCTCTTGATTTTCCTGTCTAATTGATTTTCCACTTCTGCTTTGAATTTCAAAAACATGCTTTCAGCCTCATCTTTAGAATTAAGAAGATATACCTTAGTGTATCTAGAAAAGTCATCGACAAAAGTAACGTAATACTTTTTTCCACCTTTGCTAGCAATGTTCTTGAAATTTGCTAAATCTGAATGTATTAGTTCAAGTAATTCGGTCTTTCTACTAATAACAAATTTGAAAGGTTTCTTGGCATGCTTTGCTTCTACACACAAGACATTTAGAAAACTCATCAGTTTTTATCATAGGAATTAATTCCA